ATGGGGTTGGATAATCTGATGGGTGGGGTGGGTGAGGGATATTGGAAGAATCTGGTCTGAAAAACAACATATTCAAATTTTGTAAATAAACTAATATAAATTAAAAAATGTTTCTGTGTTAAGAGTGAATAATTCTTCCTATTTTGTGACCATGGTTTTCAGAAGGGCTCAGTTTAATACAGCATAATGCCATGTACTTTGGGTCTTGAGAGGTAATTTCATGATTTACTTCACCTCACAGAGCACGAAAAGAACAAATTTCATACCATTTACTCAAATGAGCTTTCTTTTTTTACATTGACGTACTTTAAAAAATTTGAAATCTCTGGGTAATAGCAAAGCGTTCAATGAAGTCTGAATTATTTGAAATCTGTTCAATCTACATTAAATGTTAAGACACTAAAGATTAACTCTGGTTAAAAACTCTCACCTCTGTTGAGTTGTAATCAGCTCATAACTGAGCCTCGAGTGGGTTTTCAGATGCTATAAATCCTACAGAGGAGACTGCTCATCATTCTTCTGCAGAGTAGCTGGGGGATTCGAACTGCCAGGGAGATGCCACTAATGGAGTAGCAACATAAAACAGACCAAAACATCGTTGCAGCAACATTTAAGAGTTTTGAAGAAAATCAGTATTCCTTTTGGAACAGTACACAGAGGGATGCCTCATTAATTCTTTTTTGAGTGAATTTAGTATTGTACATTCTTTCCACTAATAGACTGGCTTATGTTTACGTGTCATTCCTTTTAGGAAATTTTGTAAAGGTGTTCAAGGGTAAGGAAGCTCTGGTGCCCTCAGTGGCAGCGAGTTATGTCAACGCAAAGATGGGTGGTTCAAAGCTCCATCTGCTCTTCGAGAGAAACACGAGCCGTCCTGTGATTAACAGCCTCTCAAAACCCACCAGAGGGTCAGCTCTGAGTTCCTTCCAAATCAACAGCAATAAGAGAGTTTTATATGAAGGTAGGAACGAGGAAGGGAAAGTGTAGTGGACAGAAGAGGAAGCTAAAGGAATAATGTTTTAAAAAACTTGCTGCACAAAATTCAGTTCATATCTTAGGTATCAACTGGGAATTTGCTGCTGTTAGGTACTGTCGAGTCAAGCTCTGACTCACAGCAACACGATGAGCAACAGATCTGGACTCTGTCCTATCCTGTGCCATCCTCATCATCTCTGACATACTTGAATCCACTGCTGCGGTCACTGTGTCCATACTTCAGTTGAGGATCTTCTCCTTCACCACTTTTCCAGATTTATAAGCACAATATCCCTTTTCAAAGAATAGCTCTTTCTAGTAACGGGCCCAAAGTGGGATGAAGTTCTGCCATCCTTGCCTCCAAGAAGCACTCTGGCTGTACTTGCTCCAAGACATATGTGTTCACTCTTTTTGCAGTCCATAGAATACTCAGTACTCTTCTCTAACAACATATTTCAAGGGTCGTGGTGATTCTTCTGCCATTCTTATTCAGTGTCCTGCTCTTAGATGAACAAGTGACTGAAAACATCATTGCCTCAATTCAGGTGCACCTTAGTCCATAAACTGACATCACCGCTCCTTGACAGCATACTTTCCCAATGTAACATATCTTTTAATTGCTTTTTTTTTCTTCTTTCCCCTCTTGTTGTGCACCTTCAAACTGGATCTGACTGGCAAAAGGAGGTGACTGCAACTCTTTCTCCAGCGGAGCAGTTGGTGGATTCGGACAGCACACTTCCAGAATTTCAGTGAAGTTTCTTGCCAATAGGCTACCAGAGCTCCCATCTTTTGATTAAGTACCAAGGGTACTTTGCTGGTAACAAGTGTGTTGGTTGTAGATCCATGTAAAATGAAATCATTGACAATTTTAATTCTTTTTCCATCTATCATGATGCTGCCTATTGGCCCAATGATGAGGACTTTTTGTTGAAATGTAATCCATATGAAGGCTGTAATCTTTGATCTTCTGCAGCAAGCACTTCAAATCCTCCTCACTTTCAGCAAGCAAGGTAGTATCACTGGCATAACGCAGGATGCTGATGAGTCTTCCTCTTATTTTGATGTTACATTTGTCTTTAAAATGTTCAGGTTCAGCTTTGGAATGATTTGTTCAGCATACATACTGAATATGGATGGAGAAAGGATATTGCCTTGACACACATCTTTATTTTGAACCATGTAATGTTCCCTTTCTCTGTTTGGACAACAGCTTCTTCTAGATACACTTCATATGAGCATAATTAAGTGTTCTGGAACCTAAAACTGCCAAACTGAATTCAACATTTTGATAAGATTTCCAGAAGATTCCTATGTACAAAAATATTTGAGAAATACTACCTTAAAGTCAATTACTGGCTCAGGAATGTCAAAAGGAGATGGGATGTGATTAGGGAAATGCATAGCATGTCTTTATCTACACGATTATGGACACATTATATAAACTCTCTGAGTTTCAATTTGCTAATCTGCAAAATGAAGATAACATCTATATTCTCCTGAACAGTCTCCTGAGGACTAAATGAATTACTAAGTAGCATAGTTCAAAAAGATTGGCAGAGAAATGTTTATCAGGACTTGTTTTGTTTCCTTGATGGGGGCTCTAATTTCTTTAAGGAGTAATTCAAGTGCTTTCTTAATTATAAATTTAGTGGTATATTCTTTTAAAGCATTACTATTTTAATTTTGAAATTTTAAAAAAATGTCTTTAAGAGAATGAGTAAACTTCAGATCACAATCAAATTCGAATTTTTTTATATCCTACAACTATATATAAATTCTTTAATTTACATGAAGTTCTGAATAATGAATTAGTTTAATCTTATTACCTTTAATTGTACATGTTAGAAAAGATTTCATACACTTTTCCAACTTGGAGAATACTTAACCCTGATGCCTAGAAGGAAAAAGGTGATTAACCTGAAAATTGAGGTTGTCTCTAGGAGCGAGAGAATGTTTCACTAGTGGCCTGTCAATGCTGGTATTGTATGTGGGTTTAAAATTAGAACATATTTTAAAACAAAACTGGAGCAAGAGCACTTAGGGAGTAAGGAGAGTTGATAATGAAAAGTGACATTTTATCAATAAAAAAAAGAAAAAAGCTAATAATGGCATAAAATATCTAAAAATCCACTGCAAAACTGAATACTTGGTAGCACTAATATTAAAAATAAGAAACCCTAAACTCATTGCCATATACTCAATTCTAGTTATACTGACTCTGTACGCCAGCCCCAAATAGTTACTAAAGCCATATTTTTCTCCTCCGTGGAACAACAGGTAGTTTTGAACTGCCAACTCTTTGCAAGCAGGGCTCTTTTAGCATTAATGTGAACAAAAATGCATATATTCAATTAATATACTTGTGTATTTTCTGACAATTATTATAGGATGGTAGGCTATTGTACATAAGGTCACTATGAGTCGCATGTGACTCGACGGCACATAACAATAACAACAAATATGCATACTAAAGAATGTGTGACTACATATGTGTATATTTAGCTGAGAATATAGATAGAGATATGTACAAGTGACGTAAGACCTAGCATGGCTTCCAGAAGTTAGGAGGTCATGTCAGGACAATTCATGAGCAACCTAAGTTTGCTTACTTTAAAAACGACTGAGCCTCTATTTCCTTCCAAAATCCCTACTGGATACTGGCTGGAAAAGAGGAACTGAAACCACTATGTGATGTGACTCTGCCAGGCACATTATAGGGAAGGGAAACCAAGCACCAAATCTTTTATTACTTTCTGACTATATATATGGCCTATTGGCAAGAAGTTGCATTGCAATCCAGAAAGCAAATGGTTTGAGGTGACCAGCTGCTCCACGGATGAAGGATGAGCAATTAATCACCTCTGAAAACCCACCAGAGGGTCAGCTATGGATCACTTCCGACTTGATGGTATACAACAACAACAACAATAAGATAAAGAACTGAGGGTAATGTGCAGATCCAAAAAGCACTGGCCAAGAATAAAAAATGTTTT